TTTCTTTAGTTCAAGAGATGATCTCTGAGGTGCCCTTCATGGAGAACTTGGACCCACTGAGATGCAGAGTCCATCCACTGGTTCCCCGCAACCCCTTTCCAGCTGGGCTCTCACTGTGTTCTCACAACACCTGGATGATGACTGGTCTTGGTTGTTGACTTGGCTGAATTAGGAGATGTCTCAGATTGGTTAAATGCACCTCTGTGTGTCTATGGAGCATTTCCAGAAACCGACATGTGAGACAGTGGCTGGGGGAGACCCACCCTGAATGTGGGCCACATTATCCAAGCTGGAGGTCCAGACAGATTGATACAGCCTCCTTTGTCTTCCTGGCATGAGGAAGATGTTATGGAAACCAGGGCCTTGTCCATGCTATACAAGGCCCCTACTACTGATCTGCACCCCAGCCCACATTACACTTTGATGACCGCTGTCATGTCACATTGCTATGCAGTGCCCACATTAACATGGGTGTGGAAACCCACACATATATATCTGAAACAAGTCTTGGGGAAAAGGACCTGATGAACAGTTGATGTACCTCATATTTTCTAATTTCCTTCTACTTAATTCATAATGCATTTCACTTTTAACTATGCTAGTCATGCTCCATTAACAAAAGAACACAGTCCCCTAAAGTACCCCCAAACTGTGGGGCTCAGTCTTCATGCGCTGGCATGACCACTCTCCTTCCACTTGTGTGGCGGCTGACTCTGAGCCAAGGTGGCAGAGCATCTAATGATGAGGGGACAGACCACAGGATATCTGGGGGAAGTGCAAACCTCTTGTTTTATAGAGCGCTCATCTCCTCAAGTTTCAAGATGAAATTCAGTTCAGTCCCAATTCAGAGACCCAGCAAGAATGGCTGCTGAGTCTTCCTTCCCCGCTTCTGCCTGCCACCCACCTCAGCCTCCAGGGGGCAGCAACTTGCTTCTCAGAAAGCAGCCTACACATTGTTTCCTCCAAATTCCTGCTCACCTAATGTCCACACACACACCCACAACCTGAGCAAGCTGCTCCCCCAGTGGGCCCCCACAGGGCTAGCTCTTACTTGTCAATGCAGAGTACTGGAGCTTAGACTGCTAGGTGCCTGCTTACCTGTACAGGGTCCCCCCACTGCTGCTTCTCTCCCTGTATTCCCCAGCCCCAGAGCAGGAGCCAGCACGCAACAGTTGCGGCTTAGACCACTCCAAGGTCCAAGGCACACAGCAAGAGGGTATTCATGTCCACGTTGACAACATTTGCTGCGATCCCAATAACAACTTGGGGCATAATGATGCCCTAAAATTCCCAAACAAATAGGAAAATATTAGGAATTTCAAAAGCTAGTTAGGTAGGTTGCCAAGTGAAACTCAAGGTTAAGCAGGTAACAGTGTCAAATGATGATAAAGCCACACAAGACTGGAACAGCCAGAAATGGCAGCAACCAAATGTATTCCCTCTTTTGATGCAGCTTCTCACCAACTCAACCAGAAACCTGCAGAGGCTGCTGAATTCCTGTCCAGTCGCAGGCTCATCCCAGCAGCAGAAAGGGGCAAGAGGGAGCAGTTATGGAAAGAGCACACAGGCACAGGCGCCCTGGCTTTGAGAGTGCTGGGGCTGGCAGCTGACCGCCCCACTGTGCTGTGGTGAGGGTTTTCTCCCATGCACATGCCCAGCAATGCCTGTAGACCAGGCTGGCCTGGAATTTACAGCAATCCATCAGCCTACCTGTGCCTCTCTAGAGCTGGGATTAAAGGCGAATGCCACTCTGAGGCATCGCTCCTTCCTTTTGTTTCTGCTGTCTACACTACACTAGTGCTTCAGGTTAAACTTTTCTCCAGCATTCCAGTTGACAGCTCTCAAAGCACAGCAAATTCATTCTGACTTAGGGAGCAGATCTTTATGTTTAAAGGCTAGCATGCTGCTTGCTCATAGGTGGCCTGGAAGGGGACACTGGGGTGGGGCCCAGCCTCTGCCCACCCACTTCTGGCCTTCAGCCTTCTTCCATTTCTCTTCTGCCTTTGGTGCACTGAGGGCACAGTGGGCTGCCCACACTTCCACATATGGTGGTAGTAACTCCAGGCCCCCTCCCCAGAAACAGGGCCAAGCCCAGGTCAGATGCAAAGCCAGCAGCCAGCCCTAAGAAGAGGTAAGGGCAGGGTGTGAGGGCTGCAGAGAAGAATGAGGAAGAGAGGGATTAGACAGATGAATCCATCGGGCAGCTAACTCTCCTGAGCTGGACTACACCCACCCACAAGGCCTCACATCTACAAAGTGCTTGAGGGTCACAGAAATGAATTACAGAGAAATAGAGTATGAATTACTTTCATAGAAAATTCCTTTAAAATATTTACTTTGCATTTCCAGTAACAGTGTACAGTAAAACTATTTTTAAACATACCTGACTCTGTAAATATCTTGTCTGCAGCTGGAATACGAAAGCTGCCTATAAATTAAACAGAAAAACACCAAGAGTTTGTTTTGGTTCTCATTTTTGTTGCTATTTTTGCAGTTTGTAACTCAAACCCAATTTGCACATGCTAAGCAAGTGCTCCAGAACACAGTTCAATTTTTTATGCTAATTTTATAAAATAGTGGTTTCTTTATGACATCTTCTTCTATGTCAAGTTCTGAGATTTTATTAAATTTTTTGATCAGCATACAAAGAAATGGGTTTCACTGTGATATTTTCAACACATGTATTGTTACATTTTATTCTTATTCCCCCATCACTGCT